GCCCTGCTGACTTGAAAAACATGCTGGGCATTGTGCACACATGATCAGTAACCTGACAGGAAAAGAGAAATGAAAAAATGGGGATTGTGGCATGACCAGGCCCCATAGGAATAGAGGGTCACATTCTCTTTCTCTTTCTCCCCTGTGGTGCACAAGTGCCCTCTGGCATTAGAAAAGAAAGATCTTTTTTTGTTGTTGATAATAATGCTTCTCAGAAGAGGTGTTTTTTTGTGTGTGTGTTTTTTTTGAGAGGTTTTTACTATAGGGTGCATGCGCTCGCCAAAAAGACAGAGACAGAAAGCAAGAAATCACCCCCGCAAGGCAGAGGCAGATGGGCACACTGTAATTCCTTCTCCATTCTCCTACCAGGATCTAGGGCACGCATGCACATGTGCCCGGTGTAAGTTTGAGCCAGTGGATCCAGGACTCAAACCGCGGTTGAAGACATGGGAGTCCAGCAACATAGCCATTACACCAACTACTGGTCCCATCAGAAGAGGTTTTAATATTTAATATGCTGTAAGAGTATTGTTATTCATGGTAATCCAATACTTATAAATATTAGGAAATACGATTGGAAATTTTATCGTCACCTGTTGTCTAGGGAGGATACATTTTTTAACATTTAAGCAAAATATATGAACTGTAAACAAATAAAATTCTCATACTTTTTTATCTTAAACAACTGTTAGAATTATTCCATGTTCCCTTCTAGTCTTTTTGTTTTGTTTTTGTTTTGCTTTTCTAGTCTTTATACATAAAGATTCAGAGGATTGTGAAGGCAAATGAAATTTTGTTATTATATTTCCACTTAGGTACATGTATTTTTGGATAGAGTCCCCCCCTTTTTTGATTTGCCATGGAATCTATATGCTCAACAGAGAGAGAGAGAGAGGAATAGTGAGAAAATACCCCCTTGTCCCATAAGGAATGGTCATGCCCCTGTCCCTTCTCCATTTCTCTCTCCTCTTGGAATTTTGGATACACATGCCCACGCCCTCAATGTGTTTTTCAAGTCGCTGAGTCTGAGACTTGAACCACATAGTCTGTCATGTGGGATCCAGCTGCCTTATCCACCACACCACTGACTGGCCTGTAGTTAGACTTTAAACAATTATAATTTTCTATTGTGAAGGTATTCCATGATTTACATTTCCCATTTCTCATATTACCAGAGACATGAATAGATCCCAGATTTTTCTATTCAGAATAACACTATATCAGATGAATGTCATTGTTCTTATAGATTTTTTAAATTTAAGTTTTCTTTTTAAGATAAATTCCCAAGAATGTGTTTACTTTATCAAAAAGTATAAATATCAGCAGTTACTTTAGTATATTGGTAGGAGTTATCATGTAACTTGTCCAGTGCATGGAGAGTAATATCTAATCTGGTTCTGACTGCACTGGGGCAGTGGGAAAATTGGGTTTTGAGAAACTGGCATGGTTATTACAAATAAGTACAGATTGAGCATTTCTAATCTAAAAATCCAAAGTCCTACATGCTCTGCACTCAAAACTTTTGAGTGCAGATATGACACCAGAAATGGAAAATTCCACACCTGATCTCATGTGATGGATTGCAGTCAAAATACTGCAGTATGACAGTATTGTATAAAATTACCTTCAGGCTCTGTGTGTAAGGTATATATATATGAAACATGAATGAGTTTCCTGTTTAGACTTTGGTCTTAAAGTATCATGACCTAAGAAGTCTCATTATGTATATGTACATGTCCTAAAATCTCAAGAAGTCTGAAATCCAAAACACTTCTGATTCCAAGCATTTCAGATAAGTATACTCACCTTACTATTATAGTAATAATTCATCTTTTCCTGCCCCAGAGACCTCATCTCTAACTTTCAGTAGATTCAGGAAAATTCTAATAAATGTGGATGCTAAAAACCTAACCAGGATAGTTTTCAAAGGCCATACTGCTGAGCTTTCCAGAGTCATGAATCATTAAGAGCAGGAGAGATCCAGAATTGTTCTGAAAGTTGTCTGGGACCTTCTACTGCCTTAGACTGGACCACTTACTCAGCCTTTTTCTCATAAGAGCTTTCCAGCTTGGCTAACTCATTCAGCTGGTTCCTTTATGGTCGGTTGTGTTTGTTTTGTTTTGTTTTGTTTTTTTACTTGTTTTTAATTTTTTTTTCCTGTCATAATTATTATTTAGTCCTTCCACCTTTCCAGTATTGTTTTGAGCTTAAATTAATCCTAATGATCTCAATCCTTTACAGTATATGCAGGCATTTACCTCCAAAGAGATTTGTGTGCCATTGTAGTGTATTTGTGTGTTTTCTAGTATTGCCTGGGCATATAATAGCAAGTTATTTTTTCCAGTTCATTTTTGATACACTGTTTAGCCACTGAATTGGCTCAATTATTAGTCTCATGTCTCTCTAGCTTATGAATGTATCGAGAGCAAGGCACAACTCATATATCTAGTTTTGATAACATTTAAAGTGGCTCTTCTGGACCCATCTTTGGTAAAGTCTGCCTTCATGGAATTAGATATTAGTCTTATAGAACTAACCACAGTTTATCTCCCCTCAGAAAGTATTATACCCTGTGCTGTGGAGTGAAAGTTTGTCTCCCCAAATTCATATATTTAAAATGCTAATGCCCAAGGTGATGCTATTAAGAAGTGGGATCAGGTCAGCAGATGATATGGTGGGTAAGAAAGCTGGATCCCACATAGGTGACTGTGATTCAAGTCCCAGACCTAGCAGAGCATAAGTGTGCATGCCCAAAAGCCTGAGAGAATAGAGAAGAGATTGCAGCGTGGCCATCCCCCAAAGGGAGGAATTTCTCACTTTCTCTTTCTCTCTCTCTGTCTTTGTTTCTGGTGAGCATGTGCTCCACAGCAAGAATTAAATAATAATAAATGCTGCTTAATCACTAAAAGAAAAAAAAGATAGAAGTAGGACCTGACCTGGTTAGGGGGCATATCTCATTTCAAACTGTATAGTTTGAACTCCAATTTTGGTGACTTGAAAAACGTACTACATGTGCATGCATACCCAAAATCCCAACAGGGTGGAGAAATGGAGGAAAAAGGATTGCGCTGACTATGGCCCACTGGGTGACAGGCTCTTCCTCCTTCTCCCACTCTCTTTGTCTCTCTGTCAAGCTCTGATAAACTCTGGCCAAAAAAAATAAAAATAAAAAAGTGGGACCTTTGGGAGGTAATCAAACTGTGAGACTGGCACTCTCATGAATGGGATTAGTGTTCCAGGAATAGTGGTTCCTATGAGGAACAAGACCTTACCAGACAGTGAATCTGCTGGCACCTTGATTTTGGATTCACCATAGTCTTTAGAACTATGAAAAAATAAATGTCTTTCATAAGCCATGCAGTTTGTGGTATTTTGATTATAGCAGCTCAAGCAGACTAGGATACTATATAATATGTACCTTATTATTTTAAAGACTTGTTGATAACCCCAGATAGAAAAAATTTGATTTTAAAATTTAGCGTCAGCTCTATGCATTACTCGCTGCCCTTATATTAGTTGTCATCACTATTAAGTAAAGGGCTGGCTCAATAACCTGGTGGTTGAAGAAAGTTGGATCCTATATGGCTAACCCAGTTTGAGTCCTGGCCCTGGTGGCTTGAAAAACACACTAGTGTGTGGGCATGTATTCCCAAATTATTTCTAACAGGGTAGAAAAATGAAAGAGCGGCAAAAACCCCGTCTCTGACAAACACATGTGCCTCTAGCAATTTAAAAAATGAACAAATACGTACACAGGATAAATAGGGGAAAACTATAAAGGAAAACATATAGAATTCTTACTGTACCCTAAGATTTTTATATGATTATCATATTAATCTGTAAATTGTCCCTTTGCTTTCTTTTCTTCCCTATACCTTACCACTTCCTTTTCTCTTACATTTTTCTTCCCCTCTTATTCATTTCCCTCCTGTTTCTTCTTTGTCCCTTTTGTTTTCCCCTCCTAGTTTTTGCTATTGGATATATGTACTAGCTGGAGAAAGCAAGAGAAATCACCTCCCCCAACCCCAGGGGGAATGGTCACACCGTACCTCCCTTCTCTGTTCTCCTCTCCAGATTTTGGCAATGCATACACACATGTTCATTTTTTGTTTTGATTTTTGTACTCACCAAAGAGAGACAGAGACAGAGACAGACAAAGTGAGAAGTCGTTCCCTAGAGGGATGGCCATACCACTAAACCTCCTATGTTCTCCTCTTGGGATTTTGGGCATGCATACACACATGCTCGGTGGGATTTTTGAGCCACTGGATCCAGAATTAAGCACTGTGCTGCCTGCTGGCCCTTCTCTTCCCTTTCTTTTCTTCTCTTGTTTTATTAGCAAATACTATAAAAATATTTAAGTTTATTTTTTGTAGTATTGCAAGGGGACTTCAAAGAGTTTGTGGAAAAATGGAATAAAGTACAAGTTTATTTTGGCACAAAAACCTTGAAATATATGCCTAAGCTTTTCATAATGCCCATTTTTATATACTTTTGAAGACCCTTCATAGTATTCTAGAATGGAATGGTTTTTTGTTTGTTTGTTTGTTTAGATTTTTGCCAGAGAGCACATGCACTTGCTGAAGAGAATCAGAGATAGTGAGATGAGAAATCACCCACCCCTCCCCATCTCACCCCCAGCTCACTAGGGGGTATGTCTATGCTGCAATCCCTTCTCTTCATTCTCTTCTCAGGATTTTGGGCACACACACATACCTGGCATGATTTTCAAGCTACTGGAACCAGGACTAAAACCACATTTGGCCATGAGGGAATCCAATGCCTTAACCACCATGCCACCTTATGGCCCCTAGAATGGAGTTTTTAGAAACTTACAAAAATTAGACATTCAACTTAGAGTGAGCCAAACACTTCAGTAGACATTGGATAATCATTTTAGAAGCAGAGTTTCTCTTTGAAATTTGTTTCCTTCTATGAATTTCAAGAAAGGAAAAAAGTGGTTTTCTTTTTTATTTTTTTTATTTTTCTTTCCATTTCAGGACTTTTCTTTTTGGTAGAGATGGAAATCCAAATAAACGAAATGTGCACAATGAAACATCTATGCATTTGTTGTGTATGGGACCTCAAATTATGATCTCTGAAGGAGCCCTTCATCCTCGCTTAGCACGCCCTGCGGAAGATGATTTCAGAAGAGCAGATTGTCTGCAGATGATTTTAAAATGGAAAGGAGCAAAACTTGACCAAGGCGAATATGAGAGAGCAGCCATTGATGCCGTTGATAACAAAAAAAACACACCCCTGCACTATGCAGCTGCCTCAGGGATGAAAGCCTGTGTGGAGGTAAAACTTTGTTTTTAAAAAATATTTTACATTGTAAAATTTGTGTCATACTGTAATACATAATAACCAGTGTTTGTTCTAGTTAACAATAATTTAATCCTTTTTGTTCTTTCCATCATTCTTTAAGAATCAAGGCTCCTTTTAAATAAAGTTATTTCTTATTGTGGGGAGGCAGACCCAAAGGTTAACAGTCAACCTTTGAAATAAACTGAAAGTAAGAGAAATTAAAAATTTACTGATAGTCCTAAGATAATTGTTACCAATTAAGCACCGTTATATGGTTTTAGTTTTAGTGGAGATACATTCTGCATATTTTTGCAGTCAATTTATTTGCAGCAAATTAGTAAAACTTATACATATTGGATATGGCAGATCTTGGCAAGTGGGACCTATAGTTATATTATCTAGAACTGAATAGTTCACTGAACATGGATAAAGACCTAAAATATTTATTGGGATCTTTAAAAAAAAAAAATCACAATTTCACATGTTTCTTTTTTCCTGTTTAGTAGACATTAAAGCGCTCCTAAGTAGATATTTTAATTTTTCATCTATATTTCATATGTATATAAATATATCTAAAATATCTAAAAATAGGGTTAGATAAAATTACTCATATAATAAAGAATCCTAACTAAACTAAGAAATTATTACTCTATGTAATCTAATCGCTACTATACATGCAACAGAAAAGTTTTTTCTGAGCTCCTAATTTCATTTCTTTCAGATAGAGTACATAGAAGTTCTTTTGTATGGATAGTTTAAGTATGAATGGGGAACATTTTAGATTGAATCACAGAGTACATTCATTATTAAAAATATGTACCTTTATTAGAAAAGCAATGATCCTAATCAGATTAAAATATGTATCTGAGGGCCATTTGTTGTGTATGGAATCTCAAATTATGATCTCTGAAGGAGCCCTTCATCCTCGCTTAGCACGCCCTGCGGAAGATGATTTCAGAAGCGCAGATTGTCTGCAGGTGGTGTGATGGTTAAGGTGCTGGACATTCCCATACGGCCGACTACAGTTCCAAGTCCCAGACCTGGTGGCTTGCTTTCTCACTTTCCTTCTCTCTGTGTGTCTGTCTTTCTCTGGTCAAATTAAAATAAATGAATGAATACATTTATATGATAATATAGTTTTCTTGTGTATGTATTTTATACTTCTAAATTGATCAATATACCAAAAATTTGAATGCCCATTTTTTCATTCATATTAGAAGATTACAACTGCTTCCATAACTTCTTTAGTGCATCTAAAGTTCCTTTCTAAAACCCTTGTGCTATCAACTTTTGTTTACTGCTACTACTTGTGATACTTGTTTTTAGAATCGTTGTCATTTCACTTCTTGGGATTTTGTCACTTTTGCCTACTAATTAATGACAATTGTTAACTTGAAGCTTTTTTTTTTTCAAACAGTGCTTTCTAACACTGATTGAGTGTGGTGGAAGGATATCATAGGATTTGAGAGAAGAGAGAATAATAGCAGAATTTCTGAGACTTTGGATACAAGCTTTTCTGTATGTTGTTCTATGCCCACCTGCTGTGGCAGAATACCTGCTATGTGACAGATATTGATGGGACTGTATCATATTTCTCAAGTAGATTAGGGTAGAAATTAACTTATTCTTAATAGTAGTAATAATGCTCTTAAATTGCTGCTTTAATATCTTATATCCAAAACTTCTCTATAAGCATTGGTTTTATAGTTTTCGATTTTGAAATATGTTTATGATGACATGCTTATTAAATTGCTTTAAAAATTGAAGTATGTTATTTTTACCAGCATTCTTTTTAGCTCATTCAGGGAAATTAGTACTGAGTTTATTCTGTCTGTCTGGCAGGCCCAATGATGCATGTGTGAGTGTGTGAATGTATGTGTATTTTAACTGATCTGTCAACATATTACATAAATAGACAATTGGATGGCTGTTTGCAGAAGAGCTCTTTGATTTAATATATAACATTCCAAACAGAGACCTATAAAAACCTTACATTTATTGTAGTTTTCATCAACAAAATTCAGCATTTTACCCACATGAAACTTACCTTTAATCTCTTATTTATATTTGACAATACTCTTGGCCAGACATAGGCCCTTAATGACTTTTATTATTCTCATTTTTAATTAAACAAGACTTTTTGGACCAGCAGTTAGCGTAATGGCTATGTTGCTGGACTCCCACGTATTCGGCCATGGTTTGCGTTCCGAATGCAAGAAAATAGGAATTATAATCCCACCAAAGCAGCTAAGTAACTTTACTTGTCTGAGCCTCAGTTTTCACATTTTTAATCACCAAGATAATTATGATCTCATTATTAGCCCCCAAATAATATTATCATAAGAACTAGATTATTTAGGCAGTGACCATTACAAGCATTGAAGAGTATAACAGTTAATTTATATTTTATATATATATATATATATATCTCTCTCTATCTTTCTGGCAAGCGCACGTGCCCTACGACAGAAAACTCTCAAATAAATAAATAAATAAATAAATAAATTGATTTCTCACTTTCTGTCTCTCTGGCAAGCACACGTGCCTTATTTATTTGAGAGTTTTTATAGCAAAAAACCCTCTCAAATAAATAATAAAATAAAAATCTTTCTGTCTTAAGTATTTAGAGGAAGCTACTTATAATGGAATTCTCAGTCCTGCTGCATCAGTAACTCCCAGGAACTTGTTACAAATACAAATTCTCAGGCTCATTAAATCTCCTGACTCCAGAGCAGAATCTCTGGTAGATGCCAGGAATGTTTTAACAAGTTCTCCTTGTGATTCTTTTCCACGGAAGAGTTTGAGAAGTCCTTTTCAGTGTTTCAAGCATCTGAAAATTGAAGTATTTCGTGGAAGAGTAGTAAAACACATGACTTAAAAAGGAAGATAGAGGCCTTTCTAAGTAGAAGCTACTAAATGCCAAGGTCAAGAATTCGAGGATTCTTTTTTTTTTTTAAAGAGAGTTTTACTATATGGCACATACACTCACTAGAGAGACAGAAAGTGAGAAATCACCTCCCCAAGGGGATGGTCACACTGTAGTCCCTTCTCCATTCTCTTCTCAGGATTTTGGGTACACACACATGCCTGATGTGAGGCTTTTTTTTTTTTTTTTTTTTGAGAGGTTTTTTTGTTTTGTTTTTGTTTTTTTTTTATGAGGGGGG